TTGCAGCTTTTATCTGTTGGCTAGCTTGTGCTAATTTTAGCTTTCAGTTAGCCTTTTGCTGCTTTTAAAATGCAGCTAGCATTTTGCTACATTTAGCTTGTAGGTCTCGTTCAGCTGGTCATCCACAGTCGTTTTCTTTCAGAGAACGTTTTCGGCCAGCAGCCGGCGTACTTCAGCGACCTGAGCGAGACGGTCCCCACCGTGCTGCAGGTGAGGTTCGGCGCCTCTCGCTCCGCAGGCGGTTCTTCTCTTTTCGAGCGTTTTGTCTTGTCCCACTCCAGGTGTTCGACTCGGTCCTGGACAGGTGCGGCCTTCAGTGTGAAGCAGCTTCGGCCTCGCAGCCGATGAAGCTGCAGTCGAACCAGCGAGCCTCGTCCATGAGCATGACTCAGCAGGTTTGATCCACGGGGCTCTGGCGTGTTCCTTCACATGTCGTTTCCACCATGAGCTCGCTTCACCTCTGTTCTTCAGGAACTTTCAGACCTGGTCCTGTACCTGTGCGACTCCACCACCACCGTGCACGCCTTCCTGGACATGTTCCCCGCAGCCTGCTCCAGCTTCCACGCCCTCGGCTTCCTGGGCAGGTAAGCTGAAGGTGTGAGGCGGCTCCACCGCGCCGTAGAAAAGCTCTGCAGATGTTTGTGTTGTGTCTGCGCAGGCTGACCTCGTTCTACGAGAGCGCCGTTCCGGACCTGGAGAAGGCCGTGACGAGCAGGACCTTCGACGATGGCCGGTGAGTGTGGGCTGTCGGGGCGGCTCTGAGCTGCGCTCCGTCACGACCCCATCTTCTCTAGTCTGCAGGAGGACCTGTGGACTCGGCTGAGCCACTCCTGCCGTAAGATGGTGGAGACGGCTCACCTGCTGCTGCACCACACCTGCCTGCAGCCCATCCTGGACAGGTGAGGCGCTCGCGTCGGCTCCGTCCGCCAGCTGGACCTCGGTTCTGAACGTTTCTGTCGTTTCAGCCAAGAAAACATCCAGATGTTTGCAGACGAACTGCTGCAACATTTCTCGTCTTTTCTGCCGGAGAAACGGTGAGAAAACGTTTGGGAGCAGAATTCTTTCATGGAAGTCTCTAAAAGTTGTTGTTTTCTGTGACTCGGTCCAGACGCACGTTTGAACCTGCCGGGTCGGGCCCGGCAGGTTCAAACGTGCGTCTGGACCTGCCGGGCCCGACCCGGCTTTAAGAGTCTTCATCCATGGATCATCAGCTCTGATGGCCGCTTGCTGTTAGACAGTTTCCCCTGCCCCCTCTTACAATGCTGTTGTTGCTAGAATCACTCAGCCCCTGTGAATAAGGAGCAGGCGTCGGGCACTAACGATCCCTCGTTGGATGACGCTCCTGCTTGATCACGAGAGCAGCAGGTTCTGGATGTCAGCCACACACTGGTTGATCCACCATGAGAAGGTTTCGTTTGTAGACTGAGCTTGTTGCAGCTGCTCAGACTGAAGCCGAGGAACAGCAAGAATCGTCCAGAGGACGTGACTCGGCTCTTCCTGGACTCGAGCAGCTGCAGGACGTTTTGTTTACACGTGCACCGACACAAGTCCGACCCGACGATACGATGTAGTTTTCACAGGTGTTGCACGTTCACAGCGCACCTTCAGGTTTTAATCTTATTTTATTCAAGAACAGACCCTTGAACAACATCCTAGAACCAATGAAACTGGTTTAAGTGGCCACGAGGAGAGCTCTGAAATTTAAATCACGTTCACACAATTGTTGTTAAAACCAAGAAATGTGTCATGAGTTTGAGGTGCACGTGTCGGTGCAGCCCTCGTCCTTCAAGTCTCTGCTCCGTCCTTCAAACGAACCCTTTGGTCCGTTTCTCCTCCTGGACTCGTTGAGTCGTGCCAACGCTACAAGTTGTGTGAGCAGAACCTCGAGTGTCGTGACTCTTGCAGGTTTTTGGTGGACTACGACGAGCAGTTTCCCATCGCAGACGACATCAGCCTCCTGCAGCAAGCCCTGCCGCTCATGTATCCTTCACCGCTGGCCAGATGTGCAGGCGTGTTCAGAGGGAGAACGTTGAAGATCCTTTGATTTTTCCACCTGCAGACTCTGCTCGCCTTCTTTAACGTTCGCTTCCTTCAGCGATGAAACCAGGACGTCGTATTTGCTTCAGGGGGTTGAAGGTGCCTGGGACAACGTGGGCCGACAGAAACCGCAGAGCCACCTTCAGAACAAACCTTCCTCCTCCTCTTCCTCGTTGTTGGCAGCCAATCAGGGAGCGACAGGCGGCGTCGCGCCTCAGGAGGTCCTGAGAGGAGCAGAGGGCGGGGTGGACGTCCCCCCGACAGGATCATCTTCACACGTAAACAGAGAAGTTCCTCCTTTTGTTCATTCAACCTTTATTTCTACAGGCTGGTCTCACTGAGCCACGAGGACTCGTTCAGAGAGACCAGTTCCACACAACCTTTAAAGTCCAGACGACTGTAAACCAGTAAAAATAAGAGCAGGAACCAATGAATCAGGATTAACTGAAGTTACTGAACTTCCTGTGTAGAATGGAAGCAGATCTTCTGCTTCAAGCTGAGGAGAAAAATGTAAACCTGGTAACAAAATGCAGTAGTCCCTCGCTACTTCACGGTTCGTTTTTCACAGACTCGCTCTATTGCGGTTTTTCAAAATAAGTGTAGACATGACACACCATTAGCTGATTGATGGATGAGCCGCACGGTCAGCATGGATTTGATATTTAAAATTATTTAGCACCTCCTCCACCTTTATTCAGCCCACACTGCAGGATAAACTTCCTGCTGCAGCTGATCAGCTGATCTCTGTGAGAGCTGAGAAGTGGGCGTGGCCAAGAGCACTTGCAGGTGACAAAGCAGAAGAGGCTGGAGCTGAAATAATGACATGATGTCTGTCTCTTTTAGAGTTTAGAAATATTGTTTAGAAGATTGCAAGAGTGTGGGAAGGGTTTCAAATATATA